CTTCTCTTCTGCAGCTTCTCTTGCTCTCAGTGTGCTTTTCTTTCCTTCTAGTTGTAGAATTTACAGTCAGCCAAGCTTCCTGTGGTTCTGGATGATGTCCGTATTGTTTTTCTGAGGTATTAATCAATTGTTGTGAGTGGCATCAACTTCCTGGTGTTTATCTCTGCCGCCATCTTAGGTTCTCCCACTTCTATATTCTTATGGTTTGTTGTGTCACTCTTATTTTAAAGTTGCTCAAGGTACCATATAACATGAAATGTCTTTCATACTTTTATTCATTGGCATAGTTCTCCGAGTGAAACCAGAGGTCTAGTTGGATGCCCCTAACAGGAACTCACAGTTCACCTTCCAGTGTCTCAGGTTTTATGTTAAACTAGAGGCCCGGTGCACGAATTTGTGCATGGGTGGGATCCCTTGGCGTGGCCTGCAGAGATTGGGCCCCAGCCCACGCCCCCAGCCCCACAGTCCCTCAGCCCCGTAGCCCTGCCTGACACCCTGCCTTGGTCTGGTGCCGCCCCCTTACCTGCTCCACCATCCTGCCTGTGGGCACAATCCACAGGGCCAGGCTCCCCACCTGGCTGCTTCTGTGTCTGGGAGCTAGGTGGCGACCCTGGACCCCACCACCATTGTTGGTTGCACTTGCCTTGACCTGGTGCTGCCTGCTCACCTACTCCACCGTCCCAACACAGTCCTGCTCTCATTGGGGCCTATAGGGGCCAGTGGTGCCTCCACTGCCGCCTGCTGCCAGTGCCTCATCGCCGATGCCTGCCATGTTCTGCTCTGCTACCTAGTGGTCAGCACACGTCATAGCAAGTGGTCGAACTTCTGGTCTCCCTGTCAAATGACTGCCTGAGGGGACAATTTGCATATTAGGCTTTTATTATGTAGGAAAATGGTGTTGGTAATAAGTATATTTTTTATTCTTGTGGCTATCCTTATTGTTCTGTCTCAACTGTAGGATTTGTGTGGACAAAATTAAGTAAATATGTGAAGACCCTTTATATTATTGGGAAGTGGCTATGATTCAGAATTTTATTTTTCAGATGATCTCTTAGCACTAATCAAATGCATTGACTAACTTCTGATTAGCTGGCTCATTTGTAAGAGAATTGTCTTTAGATGTATTGCTTTCAAATTGTTCCTGATGTAATTTAGCAAAATAGGTGCAGAAGTTCTTTGTTGACTGATTGTCTCCTGTTTGATTTTATCCTTTAACTTACTGTAGTTTGGCAAGAAGCCATTTACACCAAACTATGTAATTACTTCTTAATCCCAGATAAGTTTGAAATACAAATGAGGATTTGGGCTTAGGATGCAGTAGGATGAGAAAAGGACAATTTTTTTTTAACTTCTCTTGTGCCACTCATTCACTAATTTATATATTTTCCCAACTTCTAAAATGAACTTGAGGTGGCTTTTATTAAAATTATCTAATCCAGTAGAGTTGTAGGTAATAGAGCCGTTATTTTGGAGTGAAGGACTTAATGAAGAAAGGCAGATGCACCAGAACCTAGATCAGTGGTCCAGTCTGCGCCTCAGCTCCTGTGCAGCACTGAAGCATCCAGACACGGGGCCCTTGGGGAGTAGGGCCTTATTTCACATTCCGCTGGGGATTATGATGGGCAGCCATGGCCTAGAAGCACTGCCGCAGATGATGGGTAGGCATGTAAGAGAGTTTATTCGTCTGCTCTGCACTTTGTGGCACTGATTGAAAAAGAGAAAACAGGAGTTTCATAGCTCTTAATATCTTAAAAATTTACATCACTGGAAGAGGCACTTTCCCCCACCATGAAACTAACAGAGTTTGATGTTGTAGATGTCTGCAACTGCTCACTGTCTTTAACAAATAGTTTTATCAAGGACTCGGAAACATCCTTTACCTGAAGAGCTTTTTATCGATCCTTGTGTGAGGTTGACAGTGTAATATGAAATCATAACTGTGTGATGGCGTTTCTGTATGAAGCTAGTGCAGCTTCCTGAGTCCAAATGTTGCATTTCATTCATGTTTGTATTTCCAGCCCCTCACACAGTTTTGGCACATGTTTCAGAGGTGTTTTATAAATGCTTTTGGAATAAAAGAGTTTAAATGTTTAGTTTCCCGGTGAACTACATTGCCATAAAGATAGAGCTGAGGAAATCTAGAGTAAAAATGATTAGCATGTTTCCTGGACCATCTGTCACTAATATCAATTGTTTCTACTTGGCACTGAAGACTTATTTTTTTTTGTTTTGTTTTTTGGTGGGGTGCGGGGAGCGTAGCTTCTGTAAAGTTAAAAGAATAAAAGAAAAGCTCGTAAGTTTATTCTGTAACTCTGTTTAGTGGTTAAAAGGAGTGGCTACATCCAAAGTTAGACTTCAGGTACTCAAAGAAAAAAAAAGTAACTTTTTGCTGTTTATTTTTACACAGTTTTTGAATTCCTACCAAGTGCAATGTATTGTAAGATAGTTCTCTTTTCAGGGAGCTTATAAATTTACAGGGAACATTTATCAAATGCAATAAGAGGTAAGAACACTGCTGAAACCAGAGGTCCTATCTGACTGAGAAAGAGAGATATTTGGGTGCGGAAAAGATTTCAGTAAATGTAGATGTTGGAGGGCAAGAGACAGCTTTATACTGTGAGGAGTGGAGATAAGACTATGTTGGTACCATGTTAAGGGAATGGTGAATAGTCCAATGGTGCAAAAGTATCCTTGAATCAGTGTGGCTACATAGTTTAAAGGCATCAGAGAAGCTTATGACTTTTAAGAAAACTTCATGAAAATCATGACCCACTCAGAGGAACTTATGTGCATACCTATGGTAGGGAAAATGCATGACTAGGCATCCAGTGTGTAATAAGCTTTATACAGCATTGCCATCTTCCAGTTTGGTTGTGAGGAATTCATAGAGCTCATTAAGTGTCAGTAGAATTGTTTGAATCATTCAAACATTTATCTTCAGCAGAAGATTAAAAAAGAAATTGTTTCAAATTTGAATCCAGGACTTGAAAAATGCCAATTGTCTAAATACAGTACCGTATTGTGATAAATATAGCTATGGAATATTTTCAAAATCTCTTTACAAAACTTTATTTTAATATTCATTGCAGGATATTTTTGGAAACATTATCTGAAAAAGAACCATTTTATTATCAGAGCTGACTATTAATTAGGGTATTGTTTCGGATATAAAAGTTGATTTGCCACTGAATTTCTATTTGAATATGTATAGTTCCAAGCTTGCTTTGTGTATTTAATAACTTTACCACCATAATTACTCTGTTTACAATTAGATTTTGGTGAATATGCTAATATGGACTATACCAGTGAGTGGTTCCAGCAAAGGGCGGTATTGATTTGCATTTGGATGTGCATTTCACTTGCATCTGAATTTCATTTCAGTGGGAAAAGAGGTGGTTGGATTATGTAGTGGATTATATGTGATGGTAAACTTTTTCTTTGCAACATCTCTGTTGAATTGGCTATCATAATAGTGGATTTTTTTTGCTCCAAGTGGGCAGAAATTATGCGGAAAGATTTAATTTGGTTGAGGTTTGTGCTCTCCGATGTATTGTTTAATAGAAATGTTAAAGCAGGTCATTGGTTCATTATTAGAAGAAGCCTATAATGTACTAATGCAGTTGTTTAATTCAAATTAATATTTTTTTAAAAATATATTTTATTGAGTTTTTACAGAGAGGAAGGGAGAGGGATAGAGAGTTAGAAACATCGATGAGAGAGAGAAACATCGATCAGCTGCCTCCTGCACACCCCCTACTGGGGATGTGCCCACAACCAAGGTACATGCCCTTGACTGGAATCGAACCTGGGACCTTTCAGTCTACAGGCCAACGCTCTATCCACTGAGCCAAACCGGTTACGGCTCAAATTAATATTTTAAGCTCTTTAGAGAATTCACTGACTTACTGAAGCAAATGCTATGGTTCTGTTATATATCATAGTTTTTGAGCAGGAACTTCTGGTTTCAAATAATTCTACTTTCTTCTTTTCACAAATCACCTGAAAAGGAATAAGTAGATTGAGAAACACAGATTTCCTGTTCTCGAAAACTAGGAGACTTCTGTCACCCTGAACCAAAAAATAAGAGGGGCTGCCAAATACAATGAAGGTCAGAGAGGGGCATGGGAGGCTGCTGCAAAGGGACATCATCAGGTCTGAGACGCAGATCTCAGACAAAGCTGGCAGAGTAGTGTTCTCCAAAGTCAGTGGCACAACCTGAGTGGCCTCGCCAATCACCTGAAGGAAGAGGAAGGCATGGGTGTTGGCAGGAGAGGGGCTGGAGGCAAGGTTATGGTGTGATGAAAATGTTCTCCGAGTCCTGATCCCAGGTAGTTGTTGCTCAGGTGTATATGCATGTGTAAAATTTACCATGTGCACACTTTCAGTTTATTGCCTCTCAACTGCAAATTCACCTTTCTTTGCTCTGTTTGTGATACTTGCGTTAGATACTATAAACATTTTTTTTTTTTCTTTTCCAGCAGTGTTAGATTTTGTCACTAGAGGAAAAGGGAGGGACACTTGCAAGGCATAGTGAGAAAGGGACTTCCCTTTAACATTCCTTGCAGTGCTGATTTGGTGGTAATGTACTCCTTTAGTCTTTTTGTCTTTTTGTCTTTTTTTTTGGTCTGGGAAGCTCATTATTTTGCCTTCAATTTTAAATGATAGCCTTGCTGGATAGAGTAGTTCTGGATTCAGGTCCTTGCTTTTCATTACTTTGAGTACTTCATGCCAGTCCCTTCTGGCCTGAAGTGTTTCTGTTCAGAAATCAGCTGACAGTCTTATGGGAAGTCCCTGTGGATAATGTTCTGTCTCTCTGTTGCTGCCTTTCTTTGTCTTTAATGTTTTGCCGTTTTAATTATGAAGTGTCTTAGTTTGGGTCTCTTTGGGTTCATCTTGATTGGGACTCTCGGTGCTTCCTGAACTTGTGTGACTTTTTCAACTTCACCGGGTTAGGAAAGTTTTGCCATTATTTTTTAAAACAGGTTCTTTATTTCTTGCTCACTTTCTTCTTTCTGGTTCCCTATGATGCAGATGTTGTTACGTGTTCTGTTGTCCCAAAGTTTCCTTAAGGTATCCTCATTATTTTCAAGTGTTTTTGCCGTTCTAATTGTTTTTCTCCCCTTGTCTTCTAAATCACTGCTTTGAAACTCTGCTTCATCCAGTCTACTTTTAATTCCTTCCAGTATATTCTTGACTAGAGGCCTGGTGCACAAAATTCGTGCAAGAGTAGGCCTTCCTTCCCCCAGCTGCCAGTACTGGCTTCCCTCTGGCACCTGGGGCCCAGGCTTCCCTCCGGCTGCTGGCAGGCACCCGGGACCCAGACTTCCCTCGCAGCCCCGGCTTCGTCTGGAAGGTTGTCTGGAAGGACATTCGGTCTAATTAGCATATTATGTTTTTATTATTATAGACTAGAGGCCCAGTGCACAAATTTGTGTACTCGGGCGGGGGGGTCCCTCAGTCCGGCCTGTGCCCTCTCGCAGTCTGGGACCCCTCGGGAGATAATGACCTGCTGGCTCAGGCCCGCTCCCGAGTGGCAGAGGGCAGGCCCAATCCCTCGGTGCAGCCCCTGGTCGGGCTCAGAGCAGGGCCGATTGGGGAGTTGGGGCGCCACCCCCTGTCATGCACAGAGCAGGGCGGATCGGGAGGTTGCGATGCCACCCTCAGTCACGCTCAGGGTAGGGCTGATTGGGGGGTTGGGGCACCGCCCCCTGTCACACTCAAGGCAGGGTCAATAGGGAGGTTGCGGCGCCTCCCCCTGTCACGCACAGAGCAGGGCCAATCCGGGGGGTGGGGCGCTGCCCCCTGTCACAGAGCAGGGCGCAGCGGGGGGTTGGGGCGCCGGACCTGTCACATACAGAGCAGGGCCGATCAGGGGGTTGGGGCGCTGCACCATGTCACACACAGAGCTGCAGGGCGATCAGGGGATTGGGGAGCTCCCCCCTATCAGGCACAGAGCAGGGCTGATCAGGGGGTTGGGCGCCTTCCCCTGTCACGAACAGAGCAGGGCGGATAAGGAGGTTGTGGCCCCGCCCCCTGTAACACACAGAGCCGCAGGGCGATCAGGGGGTTTGGGCGCTGCCCCCTGTCACGCTGATCCCGGTGCCGGGAGGCCTCTCGGCTCCGCTGATCCCGGTACTGGGAGGCATATTACCCTTTTACTATATAAGGTAGAGGCCTGGTGCATGGGTGGGGGCCAGCTGGTTTGCCCTGAAGGGTGTCCTGGATCAGGGTGGGGGTCCCGCTTGGGTGCCTGGCCAGCCTGGGTGAGGGGCTGATGGCTGTTTGCAGCTGGTCCCACCCCCTTCAGGGTGGGGGTCCCCACTGGGGTGCCTGGCCAGGCTGGGTGAGGGGCTGAGGGCTGTTTTCAGGCTGGCGGGTGACTGAAGCTCCCAACCGCTCCTTTTTTTCTTTTTCTTTTTTTTATTCTGGGCCAGCTTTAGCTCTGAGGCTTGGCTCCAGCTCTGAGGCCTCGGCTGCTGAAAGCAGGCATCTGGGTTGTTTGGGTTCTGTAATCGAAACACTGTTTCCCTCCAGCTCTGAGATCCCGGCTGGCTGAAAGCAGGTTTCTGGAGTTTGTTTAGCTTCTATATTTATAACAATGTTTCAAACTGCAAGCTCAGAGGCCGGCAGCGGCAGGGGAGGAACGTTGGAGTCCTCCGTTACTGAAGCAAGCAAGCCTCATGTTAGGTTCAAGCTGCCTGGCTGCCGGCTGCCCTCCTGGCTGGCAGGTAATTTGCATATCGCCCTGATTAGTCAATGGGAAGGGTAGCGGAGGGACAGCTAATTACCATGTTTCTCTTTTATTAGATAGGATGTTATGGTATTCTTCAATATTCTTATTCATGGTTTCTATTTCCTTGTTCATGCTGTTGTGTTCCTAAGTTTCTAGTAATTCTTACTCACTTCCAAACCATGACTTTGAACTCATTATCTGATAAATTGCTTGCCTCCATTTCATTTAGCTCTTTTTCTGGCGAGTTTCATTTGGGGCCCGTTTCTTTGTTTCCCTATTTTGGGTGCTTCTTTCTGTTTGCTTCTATGTATTAGATAGCTCTGCTATGATTCCTATTCTTCGTTTGGTGGCCTTACGTAGTAGGTGCCCTGTGGGTCCAGTGCTGCAGTCTTCTTTTCTCCAGAGCCGGATGCTCTAGGAATGTCCCTTGTGTGGGTTATGTGGACCCTCCTGTCGTAATTGGGTCTTGATTGCTGTTGGCCTGTTCATGTGTCGGATTGACCCTCACGGTGGCTGACTGTGAGGCTCAACTTTGACCACGTTGAATAAGTTGTTGTACAGGTGCCGACAGAACAAAACAAGACAAAGTAAAATGAAAAACAAAACAAAAAATCATCACCACCACCACGAACAACAAAAAGAATAAGGAAAAGAAAGAAAGAAATAATAAAAGACAAAAGAAAAAAGAGTAAAAGAAGAAAAAAATATAAAAGGAAAGAAGAAAAAAGATTAGGAAGACAAAAACAAGAAAAAAAGTATAAAAACAGAAAAAAGAAAGGAAATAGGATTAGAAAGGAAAGAGAAATATGAAATATTAAGGAAAAAAGGGAATAAAAGAAAACAATAGTAAAAAAGAATAACAATAAAAATAAAAAGTAAAAAAATAAAAAGAAAAGAAAAAAGTGAAGCTTGTTGAATCCTGTTCTGATGCTGTTGAAAGCTGCCATTTGGTTTAAAGGTTCCTGGCCTTCCGGCTACTTGTCTGCACCTATGTTACCCACAGTATGTGGCTGCCTCTGCTCAGCTTGCTGCACTGGGAAAAACCTCAATGACTTCTTCACATTCATGTGGAATGGACCGAATTGTCAGGGCGGTTTTCACCGAGGCAGCAAGTTAGTTTCAAATACTCATTAATAAATATATTTTTCTTCTTTTTTGTTTGCAGAGAAGCTGGTAATTTAGGACCTGCATTGAACAACTTCATATGAACTTTGTATTTAGTTTACTTGCACTGGTATAAGGTCTTGAACACTGTGGGTCTCTTGAAGGGGGCGGGGGGCTGGATAATCTGGAAAAAGGTGGAATCCTACTTTATATCTTAAAGCAGTGGTTCTCAACCTTCCTAATGCCGCGACCCTTTAATGCAGTTCCTCATGTTGTGGTGACCCCCCAACCATAAAATTATTTTTGTTGCTACTTCATAACTGTAATGTTGCTACTGTTATGAATCGTGATGTAAATATCTGATACGCAGGATGTATTTTCGTTGTTACAAATTGAACATAATTAAAGCATAGTGATTAATCACAAAAACAATATGTAATTATATATGTGTTTTCCGATG